GGGGTTTAACTAAAAGAGAGTGTGAAAAGATCAAAAATTGATCATTACCACGATCGATAAGTATGGGATGCTGGCATGTTGCGGTTTGTATTAAGAGTTCTGCTAAATAAAACAAACCCACTGGCCTCATCATAGGCTAATTGTGAGGCAGAAGGAAAAGATCCTATGGTGTGTTTTATTTTTCCCTTAAACTTGCACTGAAAATCACAACATGTTAATAATACTTAATCTTTCAGAAAAATGTTAAAAGAAATGTATTAACTGATCGCATCTTAACTGAGGGCCCTCCCATAGTTGATACCTTAAACCTGTGCAGTGTTTCTTTCTCTTATCCTTACTTTAAAACTGTGCAGTGTTTTTTTCACTCTCCTTAACTGTGTCCCAAAATTACCTTTGGGCATCTTCAGCAATAAAATTTTGATGAATAAGACATGTGTATTTCACAGGTGTTGTACATGTGTCTTATCATCAGCTTGTTAATGAATAATTTATTTCCTCTGTAAAATATGTTAGTTTGATGTGAGGTGCTGGTGTGCAGTGCTAGAATGCTGCTGTACAGTGCTAGAATATTGGTGTGCAGTGCTGAAGTGTTGGTGTGCATGCTAGAGTGCTGCTGTACAGTACTAGAGTGCTGGTGTGTAGTGCTAGAGTGCTGGTGTGCAGTGCCAGAGTGCTGCTGTGTAAGTTAATTTTAAGAGTTTACAGGTTAACAAATTAAATAATACCCCGTGTGTCACCTTCTGCCGTCTCTTAATTGACCGACTTATACACTCACTTTGATTGCTAGTTCCTAGAGAATTAAACCTAATTTTTTGTATGAAGCACCATCAAACCCGACCATAATATGTATGTGCACCCTTAAAAACTGACCATAACGATATGTACGTGCACGCTTAAATCTGACTATGATGATATGTATGGTTTTTTTAATAACACATTGGCCGTTTCCCACCAAGGTAGGGTGTCCCAAAAAAAGAAAAACTTTCACCATCATTCACTCCATCACTGTCTTGCCAGAGATGCGCTTACACTTCCGTTATAAAAACAGCAATATTAAGACCCCTCCTTCAGAGTGCAGGCACTGTACTTCTCATCTCTAGGACTCAAGTCCAGCCTGCCAGTTTCCCTGAATCCCTTCATAAATATTACCCTACTCACACTCCAACAGCATGTCAAGTCCTAAAAACCATTTGTCTCCATTTGCTCCTATCTAACATGCACACGCATGCTTGCTGGAAGTCCAAGTGGCTTGCACACGAAACCTCCTTTACCCCCTCCCTCTAACCTTTCTTAGGCCTACCTCTACCGTGCCTTCCTTCCACTACAGATTTATACACTCTTGAAGTCATTCTATTTTGTTCCATCTTCTTTACATGTCTGAACCACCTCAATAACCCCTCCTCAGGCCCCTCTTGATAATATTTTTGGTAATCCTGCACCACCTCCTAAGTCTCCAAACTACAAAATTTCCTCTGCATTATATTCACAGACCACACAATTTCCCTCAGACATGAACATTCCACTGCCTCCAGCCTTCTCCCTTTTGCAAATTCAACCACCCATGCTTTACACAAACCCATATATGACATTGGTATAACTATACGACCACTTTTTGCTCCATGACAAAGTTCTCTTTGCTCCGCAGACTCCACGGTGCACCGCTCACCTTTTTCCCTCGTCATTTCTATGAATTCACCTCATCTTTCATATACCCCACTGTTGACAACTCCACTCCTAAATGGTACAGTGAATACGTTCGCCTCTTTCATACCTTTTCCAACCTGATATCCAATCCTTGTTACTTTTAATTTTTTGTGTATCACTCATTACCTTAACTCTTTCCTATAACAGTGGACCCCCGGTTTTACGATATTATTTCATTCCCAGAAGTATTTCCAGTGTGCCAGTACGAACGAAATTGTTTCCCAATAAGGAATATGTGTGAAGTAGATGTAGTCCATTTCAGACCCCCAAAACATAACCACGTAACAAACGCACATTACATACACTTACATAATTGGCAGCATTGGGAGCTGATCGTTAAAAGCGGGGTCCACTGTATTCACTTTTGAATTATCTTCTTTACATACCCTACCAAAACTCATCCCCCAACCTCTGCACTTCTTTTCCAGAATCTCCCAGAAGCATGTGTAGATCAGCAAAGAGCAACTGTGACTTCTTCCAGTTGTTTATATTTTTTATCTTTTAAAACCCCAAGGCCTCTTGCCAACACCTGAGCATAACCACTGTCTCTTTACAACCCCAGCTATAAATATTTTGAACAACATGGTGACATCACACATCCTTGTCTAAGGCCTGTCACCTACTTTTACTGAGAAAATACACTCCCTCTCTTCTACATACTGCTATCTGACCTTACTATCCTCGTCAAAACTTTTCACTGCTTTCAGTAACCTATGTCATATTTCATGTAGTTCACGCCTTAATCTACCATATGATATGTACAAGCACCCTTCAAACTGTAATTTGTGTGAGCACTTGGCATCAGCATCCGCAAATCATTGTGTGTTTGCAATTGTGATTTTTTTTTTAATTATTTAATCTGAAGATATAATTGTTCAACAAAAAAGGAAAGTAATTTTTATTAAAACATTTTTGATGTGGAAGGAAGTGAAAATGTTTTACAATATCCATTTGTTTCCCAGGTGAGAAATTATTAGAAGAAGTTATGTTCATAATGCAAATTATATTGGTAGAATCAGTATCAATGTAATATTTGCCCTTATTAAACATCCTTTTTACATTACTGTTTTTTGTATTGTATTCTTTGTAAAATGTAAGTTAGTGTGTAATATCACATGATTTAAATGTTAAATTTTTAACTTCTTATATTGAAACTTGATGGTTTGTGGTTTTTGGTACAGAACTGCGCAACCGACTGAGGAGACCAACCGAGCGTCCCAGAAAGGTGTAGAAGCTCTGGAGGCATGGCAAAACGTGGTCTTAATAGTGAAGCCTTTCAATGCTATGTAGCACTCATCCATGAGGTTTAGTCCTGTTTAATCTTATACTCTAGCAGGAGTAAATTCCTTTCTTTTTTAGCTGTGGCCAGTTTTGTGCACACCGTATCCCATAATACGGACAGTTGGTTGCCAGGGTACATGGGATATACGAAAGGCCTAAGAACTAGACCCCAAAAGATTTAACAGGAGTTCATCTGGATACATAGCTGCAATTTTTAGGTTTTCCTCTTTTGTATGTTAAATTTACGATGTTTGCTTAATATGTCTGGTAACTTATTTTCCTTAAAAAGATGCCTTGATATTTCACTTAGGTTATTATTCTGTCTGTCAATATAATCTTCCATAAATTAGAATACATAATCAAGTACATAGTGTTCAAGACATTAACATAAGTCCCCAACCACATACTACTTTACATCAATTTTAAGTTTGCTCATCATGGTGTGTCTGTAAAGTAAAAGGACACAAGTGCAACTAATTTGTGACATTTTTCTTTTTGGCAATGTTTCCACTCTCCAGTAGCAATGTCAAGCCATTACAAACAGTAAATGGACACAGAGGGTATATATAGGTCTTAAGTGAGGTGCAGTACTAGTGGTATATAGTAGTAGTGATGTAATTAAGTAGTAATACAATATGAAGAACGTTAACTTGCACATGATAAAAGGATATAAAAGCTATTATGTACTTTGGTAACAAAAAATAGGTTTAGACAAATATTTTTGTTGGAGGCTGGATTAGAGAAGGCCGTTTCAAAGATTCAGTCCTCTGTAATGTGCTTGTGTAGTATATCAGGAGAGACTATGGTATGGCAAGGTTTAACTGTTTTCCAGGAGGATTTCTGCTAAGAACTTCAGAGAATGGTGAACTGCTTTTTGTTTTGCTATAATTGAATTAGAAATGGTGAATTAGTGATGATTCAAGGCCTTACGTCTGCAGAAATTAGTTTCTTTGATCACTAATGGCGTCCCGAATTACATGAGATGATAGGTGGAATGCCAGTGTTTAGTTTACAGCCGGCGTTGTTCAAGTTATCGTATCCTACAGTCATAAATTGTTGCATTACAGGACTTGAACAACGCTTGCGTACAGCACCCGAATCCACCCAAGTCATCTCATGAAATTCAGGATGCCCAATTAGTGATCAAAGAAAATAATTTTCTGCAGTCGCAAGTGCCTTGAATCATTACTAATTCTGTTCATAATGGTTCAGGCAGCTGTGACGGCATGATCGTCCTGCTCTTAAACCATCTGGTTTCTGGCTATGCTGGTTGTGCTGGGTCCCAAGAAAATTTGCAATCTGTACAAACTCACCACTCTTTCAACGTTATTTTATGATGTGAGGAGTTAGGGCTACTGGTCTGAATTTTTAAGACT